ATAACCTAGCCAATAAAAATACATATTTGATGTATTGACTATTGTAGTGCAAGATTGATTACTAAAAAGAGTTATACAATGCCAAAGGGCTCAAATTGTTGAGTAAAATTATTTTATGAAAAATCCAATATGGCCGCTGGTTGCGAGGCATGCACCTGGGTTGGCATTCAAAGGGTTAAATAGCCTCCAAAATAAGAGCCACTCAGATGAAAGTCACCAATGCCTCAGGCTTGGTTGTTACTTTGATGGTTGCTTGACTGTATTATTTCTCCAGAAGCTTCTGCAGCTGGAATTTTCTCCAGCTACTTATTTCTGAAGGGCTGGCTACCTTAATTAGAAAAGAGAGTGAAATAAAGTATACCTTTCTTTATCTGAACTTTGGTTTATCCCTTGCCACTGTTTCTTTCTTTTTCTTAAATTTAATGGCCAGCTGCTACAAATTCTCTAGAGAACACTGCTGGTAATGCCTTTAATACACTGTTAACAAATGGTAAACACCACAGCGTACGCTATCGAGTTATGGATGCACGCAGGAGGTTGCTAAGCACAAAAGAAGTGTAAGAGTCGCTCGAGGCGATAGCAGAGAGCTACTCTAGCTTCTTGAGTACTTAGCAAACCTCCCAAGTGCATCCATGACTCATTAGTGTATGCTGCGATGTTTACTATTTGTTTTATAACATAACATTGATACATTGAAGCTAAAGAGTTCCCTTTTATTTAACAAATCTTACATGACCAGAAAAAACAAGCACGCACCGAAAAATACTCTTTGCATTTGCTCACGTCATCAGCGTACACCCAAATGAGGGACGCTAAATTGATCAATCAGAGTGCGTACTTTACTTTGGTTATGTTATAATTACAGTTTGACAGGTGGTCTGATGCACAAAGAAAAATGGTTCTTGAAATCCTAATATCAAAGTGCAAGAATTCCCAGCTGCAATATACATTCTCACTGATTGACGAAAAAATTCCAATCACACATGTGGACTTCACTCGTAAGCTACCTTGTGTCATAACTATCTACATCATGTCCTATTTGGATCCTCGAAGTCTTTGTCGCTGTGCACAGGTTTGTTGGTTCTGGAAATATCTGTCTGAGCTTGATCAGATCTGGATGCCCAAATGTTTTAAGTTTGGTTGGATTTTACCATTTATGCCGACACCTTTTGAACAAGGGGTGTGGAAAAGACATTACTTGGAGTGTGTTAGAGGATTACAATATGTTCGGCCAAAGGTAAGATCATTTCTTATATTACACTATTAAAATCTCCAATAACATTTAGGTGAGTCAAAAGAACAGCTCTTTAGGAGTTTTTGAATGCTGTAAATCAAACCAAAGAAGTGTTGTCAGCAGTCTTCAATTATTTCAAATTGCATTCATTTTTCAAACCAAATAGTCTCCTCCAGGATCTCCAAAGTCCATTCCAACTGAAAGAGTGATGTTAAAAAGCCAGAGTCAAGGTAGTCTTTATAAAAAGACAGGAACAGGAACCAAAAAAGCGTTAACAGCTTGGGAGGCTCCTCCCTGGCGGGGCCCTGATCCACATCCTGATGACATCAAGAGGAAGTCATTCAGTAGTGGACATGTAGGAGGCTGCAGGTTAGTCATTATACAATATGTAATGGAACTGACTGATGCTGTGGTAAGGTTTAGGGCAAAGTAAAACTGTGCAAAGCTTGTGATCTTGATAAATGTCGCTTACTTTAGTTCATCATTCAGTGAATTCTCATTACTGTCCATCTGTTTATTTCTGCCATTGTTTTCTTGCAGACGGTGTCACATGTCAACACTCTCATCTGATCATAGTGATCAACACGATCATCTGTACTCATCTAAGAAAGGAACTACCAGTAAAACCACTAAACCAAGAATCCGCTCTGTTGCTGTAAGGACATTCTATAGACTGAGCAATTTATAATATTGAAAACTTATCTAAAATTCCCCACAAATACATGTTCTGAACAAATTTTAGGTTTATAAGGGTGAGTCCTTGGTACAGTGTGGGTCGTGCCTTTGGTTTTAAAAAATGCTCACTTCAAGCCAAATGGATGTGTCTGGGTTGAAACATAGCAGTACACTCTACTCTGCTAAGCACCTAAGGTTAAAACCAATAATTTTACTACATATGGCAATCTGCGGTCTTTCCTTACACTTAGGTAGCACTTAAAGCCGTAAAAATCTTGAACAATAGCTCATCTTTCAAACTGGCAGTCTAAATCCCACAGGGATCAACGAATGCTTTTCATTCCACCAATTTATTCTTGTTTTTCTTGTTGCCATGTTCCCACCAATAACGTAGCTCCATTTTCTGCCTTTAAAAGCACACACAACCCACAATTCCTCTACTCACTCGGACGAAGGGCTAACGCTCGAAACGTCAGCTTTTGTAATGGTTACGGTGGCCAATTTACCATTTCAACTTTGTTGATATATCCAAATTATTTCATTACCCCCACCGACGCAGCCCCAAACAGTTTCTTTCAAAACTATCAGCCTTTAAGGTTAAAACTAACTGATTGTGTTACAATTTTGGATCCACAAACTAACTACAATCTCAATGACATTTAAGAACCAGTTACAGAGTTTAAAAACAGTGAGAGAGGTTTAGGGAGAGCATGGGTGACCAAAAATACTTTGAAGAAGTATTCTGTCAGGAGAACTCAGTCTATAATAATTTTAATGCTGGTGTTGCAGTAGTAGGCACTGAGTTTTGAGGTCAGGGTTATCTTACTGACATGAGTATCTGCAATTTCCATGTTTTATGTTACTCAACAAGTTAAATGAAATACAATAATTGGAAATAAAGAAAAAGCTACTAAGTATTAGAAACAAAAGATTGACAAACTCAAATTTAATTTGGTCTAGTATTTTACTGAATATTCATTGAGTCAATTTATATGTAACAATTTTCTTTTACTTATCTTTTAAGAACACTCTAAAGGAATATTTCAATCAATTTAAATGTTAATTATAGGACAATTTGGTGCACTTACATGACTGTCCCCCAAAAAATGGAGAAAGACCATTTACTTCACTTTATTGGTTTGACAAGCTGTGCTTATGAAAGGCTGATTAATAGTGAGAATTCACTACAAGTATGCAAATGTATAGTGATACTGATACATAGTGATACTGATGTAGGCGAGTTAACGATTAAAATCAATTTGAAAGGTTAGTTATTGATTAAATTTAGTAATCAAGCTAAAACAGGAATCCCACCCTGACATTTACAGGATAGTACACTAACTAATATTTTTTAAATTAGGGAAACTCAGTCCCTGAATCAGAGCCTGGTGGATCAAAGTTAAACTCGCAAACAGGTCGGCCAGACTGGGCAGTGCAGGCATCAATCTCACCCCTGAAAGCCAGTCGGCCACCACCTGGGTCTGAAATAAAACCTTCTGCACAAACACTTGGAAATGCAAGAGGTGCCAGGGACCTACCAGGTATCTACTATATTCTAGCACTCGTATACAGTGTTTTTATTTTTATTTGTTGACTGCACTGGTAGTTGACCATACAGATCGGTCAGTGGACTGTACTCCTGCTGGTTGCTGATCTTTTGATGCTTAATTTTCAAAGAGAAAACATAATTTTTACACCTGTAGTAGTGTTTACACTTCTGGTAATCAATATTTGCTCTTATTTTCTCTGCTGCAGCTGAGGGTTTATTTAAAATTCAGCCGTGGAGGAGGCCCCCTGAATATGACTCGGACTAAACTACATCCATCTATGTCAGGGTGTGTCATATCTGGTGTGGTCATTGTGAGTTGTCCTGTCAGGAAATGGAGGAAGTGCTCCGTAACAGGTCTTGTTGCTGCTCTGGAAATTAAAGTCATAGCTGATCTCATACTACGGCCTATGGTTTGGTCACCTAGAAGAGCACAGCCAAGAGAAGAAAGGGATGGTGAAGGAAGTGAAAATATTAGTCCTTGGAGGAGTGCCATTGTGTTGTGTCAACAGAAAAAGGGCCTCGTACACCAAGTTGGCTGTAGTGCAAGAGAGTAGATCTAGCCGTAAAGTACATGTTACCAAAACTGCCAAAAACAATGTGCATTTGCATATAAGTCATATAAACAAAAGGAATATTTTTTTTAAGGGTGTCCTTTTTTAAAAGCCTGTCACTGAGTTAAGAATGATTTATATCATTTTGTGTGGACAAGATAATAGAGGTGTTAGTCTAGGTGGTTTTTGTCTGCATTCATGCTTAGCAGAGTCAGTGTAACGAAAATTCTTGTTTGCGCTTAAGATTGCTTGATGCAAGGATTTTTATACCTGCTTTGTACACATTGTTACTTCAAGAACAGTATGGAATTCAAAATGACAATACGATAAGTGCAGATAATGACTGATATTTTTAGTCGTATTCGAGCCAGGAAGAAGCGCGAGATTCAAACAGTACTATTTCCGTCTTTTTTAATTCAACCTTCTCGACCTAATGCATACCCGTCATGAACTGAAATAAAAGCTCCCGGCCGTCAAAAAAACTCACAGTTATGTATCGTCATCAGTAATTTGATATTCTGAGAGCAATCCATTTGGTTATCCAAGATAGCCCATCAGAACGGAAACAAGCTCTCAGCACTGTCTGAGAAAGATTGGATCATGCATGGCCGTGGAATAATTTGCACTCTTTAGTGACCACTCCTGTGAAATTGAATTTTCTTACCCTCTGGATTGGTTTCTGATGCCAAGACAAGATTGAAGTGATATGTCTGCGGGACTGGTCAAGCACAGATATAGTCCAAGCACTGTTAAACTTGGTTGTGAACATTGAATTTGTTTTAACCCTTCCAGCAAGCACTATCAAAGTGATTTCATGATCTCATTTTATTTGCTTAAACTTGATAAAATAAAAAGCCTGTCAGTATCATACGAACAATTACGCTACAGTCAGGACTCCAGATAAACCCTGGCACCATTCGTTAACGCAGTAGGGGAATCAATCTGTATTTAGAGATACGTTGACTGAAAACGGTAAAGTAGAATGAAGTGGGTTAGCCTGTGGTTTTTTCATTTACACTTTTTGCCCTTCTTGAATTACTGGAAGACCACTAACACAAGCGTCTTCAGTAATCTTAGCTTCATAAGAATTATTAAATACTTCTTCGTCACCGTCGTCAACGTTACTATTTTGATCAAAAGTCTTTCCTGAAACATCACGAATCCAATTCAATATTCTATCATCTTTAAATTTGTCATCAACCAGTTCGGAATCAGTCGACGACTTTCGCGAGGAATGATTGAAGCTTCGCCGTAACGCCGGGCTAGGAGGAAGGCTTCGAACACACGACCGAGGGCTCCAGTCAGTGTTAGGAGAGGTATCCGTTAAGTTTTCACTGTGCCGTGTTAAACAATTCCTTTCTGCAGTTGGTCTCAAGTCAAGTGATAAGGAGAGTCGTTTTGGGGAGGTCCTTGGCGATAGCCTGCATGTTTTATCCCAAGAAAACAATGTTTGTCCCTTGTAAACTTTAGGAGTTCCAGGTCGGCTGGGACGTATCCCGCTGGTGTTTATCTGTTTTGATTTCGTTTCCTCTTTATTTTGAATTGGAGGAAGCGATGATTGTAAGTCTGTGTCGCTTCGCCACTGCCGACAATTCAGATGATTGGCGAATGGCAATTTAGATCGTTTAAAACTTTCCATGTCTAATCAGCGTACAGATGTCTTCAGAAATGACGGAGAGGCAGACTCAAATCTTTAGGTTGGCTTGATTTCCATAGTAATGTTTTACGATTATTCTCTCTCATACTAACGTCGCCAAGTTGTATCTGCCTTGGTTAACCACATTAATACCATTATATACTGAACAACTTTCGCCAATTAAAGATCTCTTCTTTTAACCGGCGTTTTACGGCAGTAACCTATCCTGGAATTTCCCTTGCATTCCTTTACTCGCACGTTTCATTCGATAGCCTGTCGCATGCAAACAAAGGCTGAAGACGCAGTGCTTTATCTTATGCCAGGGATCAGTTTACTAAATAAATGACTTCTGTCAGAGTTAACTAATTATGCTAATTCCATTGTTTAAGGACTTATCGATTATCAATGTTTAATCATCTAAGCCAACGTTTTTATTTTGGAGTGATTGGATTAACACATTGTTATATTTTGAAATCGTCTTCAGTATGTATTTGTTGAACTGGTACTGATAAAGCAGGTTTTTACTGATGGATGTTCAGGCACTTTACTGTCGAATGTCAACATACCACAATTTTGTCTCTTTTCTCCAGTCTCCCTGCTTCGCTTTAAAGATTTTAAGAGTAATTTTTACGTACTTTTTGTATCGTGGGTCCTGTGGGATGGTCGTATGGGACTTAGGTTCGGTTCAGACGCCAAACTTTTATGAGCCAATTTTAATTCGAGTTTAGACCGACACAAATTCATATAAGTATGTCTGTTGGTTCCGACCTTGAATAAGTAACCCATTTCAGCCGTTCCCAAACAGATCCAGGAGAACTTCTTCAAAATTTGTCATAATTAGCTCAGGTCTCTCAGCGTTTGGTTTGGCAAATGCAAACTTCGGCGTCGGAATCAAAGCCGTTACAGAGTCGAAATTCCTGGCTAAACTAGTTGTTAAGAAAGGCTGAGCCATGTCAAATGAAAAAAAGACTTGAACCGTCGAACTTTTCGTGGACTTAAGTCACACTATTAGATGCTGATCATGAAAAGTTCGGCGTTGAATCCGAGCATAAGTTGGAACAAAAGGCTATAGGGGCGCACATGCAGTAATAGCTATGCATCACATGATCAACTCGACAGAATTGATGGAAAACTGGTAACTTCAGGTAACTCCAGGCGGCGCGCCATTGTGGATGAGGAAATAAATCAGTAAAATTTCAAAGTTTCATAATCAATTTATGGCCCAACCCCACCAGTAGCTAGCTACACGTCTCTTTTCTTAAGATCTGGGTGAGCCCTAACCTATTCCTTGTCCACGTAATGCGGCATATGTTTGCTTAAATTTTCAGGGAAAGGTCTATGACTTGACATCTAACTCAGGAAATAAAGAATTTACTACTAGAAAGAACTTTTTAACTTTCTTGAGCTGGAAAGATTAGTCTTTGCTAGCAAATAAAGCCTGTAAGTCGTATTTTCAGTGGTAAAAATATTCCGCGCACAGTATTAAGATCCTTTAGGCACGTACGTTATATCAGAGAGAGGTGCACAAACTGATTTCAAGCATTGCTCCACATCCAACCAAATACGCGGGTAGTGACAGGTAATCAATTCACTCATGTACAGGCAATAAAGTTACTTATCAACTGACCGTCATTATATATTGACAGGTATTGTCTAGGATCGATCCTGTGTCACCGGTCGGCTGTCATACGCCTTGTGGATAAATCGCGTTGCCTTTTTCTTCATACAGTGATATGATTCCACCAGAAACGAGAGATGCATGGGTAAGATCCCTTGGTAAAGATTTAGTAATCTGAGTAATGTTTATGTAAGGATCGGGGGCTCAAGTTTAACGCGCTGTTTATAAATTTATGTGGTACTCTAAAGCAAATTAATGGCCAGTTGACGATAATATTGGTGAGTGTTGTGTGTCGTGATTTACTCTGGCCATAATGATTTACCGCTCACTAATGAAGGAGGTTAGTAACCATTTCCTGTTTCCATTTTTAACTGATCAATGTTCAAAGCAGAGATACGGTAGTGAAAGATTTTCAAGCTGTTTATTGTGTAGCCATTTACGGTGATATTACGTGCTTTGACAAGGAAAGATTGGTATTATTAATAGGATTTTCGAAAAATTGCCTCATGGTTTCTTAGACTCAAATCGCGTGGGTGGCCAGCTCTTAAGCGTTGTGATGGGATACGAGGTAGAGTGGTTTCTCAGTCATTCTTGTGTCTTGTAGTTCAGCTCAGCAGATGCCTAAAATTCTCCACATGGTTATTGACACCGACCTTTTTGCAATGGATATAGAGTCAAGACGTCAGTTATAACCCTTTAACCAATCGCCGATCATACTCAGAGACGTTAAATGGCTTTCTTTTGCCCGTCCGTAATTGGGAGGAATAGGAAACCTGCCAGCTCAGGGAAGTTGAAAGGTATGCATTCCTGAGTTGAGAAATACAGAGCCCCAGTGAACCCGGCTTGTTGCACTAGTTTGCACTGTCGTTGTTGAATAGTAAATGTACAACATTGATTTGCCAATATTTTAAATCAGAAATGAAATAAATTCCACGGCAGGGGCTGGGTGTCAAAATCTTCGTCTAAAGAAATCACATACTTTCTACGGAGATTATGAGTGAAATATACCGCCAATATTTCTCATGATCAACGTTCTAAAAATGTTTAAACTAGATTTATTTCAATTTCATATTACAGAAATGAAATGAAGATGGAAGTTTTCCAAAAACAAAAAGACATGAATAACATGAGATGAAAAGATTAAAAGTTCTTAATGTTTTTAGTTGTGAAGTTTTACTAAACAAACAGTAACGTGATAACAATTCGCGTGGTCTTTTATTTCTTGTTTTAGGTTTAGAAGTTTCGAGAATAGGGTGAGATTCTTAGCAGAATGCTTTCTATTCAACGGTGTGATCTCTGGGCGATCTTTTCATCTCGTGCTGTATTTCTGAATTTTTTCAGGCTTAGTGCAAATACGAGTTAGTCCGCAGCTCAAAGCCTAACACAACAAATGTATTTACACTTTGCAGTATTAAGCCGAATTGGTAACGGGTATCCAAAACAAAACAGTTTGTTTGCGACTCTTCAAAGAAAACGGTTAACATCATGATATTGGTGCTTTTCCGCTTGAAATGATCTTAACTGAAAACTCTGCGATGGATATCGTTCGCTGAATGGAAAACAATTGTATCTCAAACAGAAAATTGTGCCCGGTCCACTATTCGTCTATAGTTCTTCTTTTTTTTTACCTTTAATTCCTGAAAGGAGAAGAAAGAATGATGTGAAGTAATTTCAAGATTTGACTGATGCGTTTTCGATATCAACCGACAAGTCTGACCGAAAATAGAATTTATCGTCGATTTTTCTTGTCGTATTCCATTGGAATCAGTGATCGAAATATTACAAGCATGACAGAACACAGACTTCTTGACGCATATTAGAAAGTCTTGTAAACTTCTCGAGTCTCAACTCACACCACTGTTTACTTTTTGCGCAAGCTTTTGGATTTTTGCATAGTTTTGTTTCCGCTTTACCCAGACGAATGGTAGAAATGTTTGCAAAGAGCAGATAAATTATTTTATCAAGAGATAAAGACTTCATCTGGTTTCTACAATTATTATGTCAATAGGTCATTTCGATGGTCTTTGCGGATAAAACTAGGTATGAAAGTTCTCAAGATTCACATGCCATCGTTATAAATAAGATATTATTAGAAATCCAATGCAATGGTTATTTCTTATATGTAATAGGCGAGCGAATTGTGTTACTTTTAATTCTTGAAATTTCTTGGGGTTTACTTCAAAAACTTAGCCTTTCGCTCAGTTTTTTTTTTAGATACCGTCAGAATATTGAAGTTGTAGACAATGTAGACGTTATTGAAATGGTTGCTACGTGTGTATCACAAAAGGATTACAACAACTATGAGAAATGAAGACATAGATATTTAGGCTTTTTTGAACGAAGGGAATCGATACAGGCTCCCTCCAGCCAGAGTGAGATTGAGAGAAAGAGAGTGATAGACATAACGAAAAGCAAAGAGGAGGGCAATAATTTAAAACACATTTTTTTTTTTTTTTTTAGGCCTGTAGCATTAAATTTCTCACACTTTGGCCCCATTAAGTGTGGTATTCGAAAATGTTATAATCATCTCATCAGGAATGTCCTGGTAGCGTACTTTACAAGGACTTTCGATTACCTCAGTTCGCAATTCAAATCATTTGACTTTTCATCTGCCCGTCTCGACCTTTTTTCCGTTTGACAGCGGGACACTTTTGGTGGGGCAGCATCCTAATCAGCTTTAGTCATTACACGACATAAGCGAAATGACGCATCGAGATTAGTTTGGGTTACTAATCGCCTTCAGCCTTCCTAGAATTACGCTGTGGTCAATTTGTTTTCAGAGATACTCAATGTAACCAATGTCAAGTTTTTTTCTTTTTTTTCTCCTTTTGAGCCTTTCGCAGAATAGACAGCAAAGAAAATACTTTAAAGTACTCTGAGTTGGAAACGAAAATTACCTTCACGTTATTTTTTTTCCTTTTCCAATTAGCAAAAGGGAATCGATCGATGCAGAGAAAAGAAATCAAGTGTTCGTAACGAAGGTTAACTCAGTTGTGATCAGGGTGATAGAATTTGCTTCAGGGACAGCTTTAATTTACCATTAAACCAGGTTCATGTATGTCGATAGATTTTTTAAGTTTTGCGCAGTAATGAAAATCACGGAAGATGGCAGATTACTGGGAGGAGTCTGGTGATAAATTTTTCTTGTTTCCACATTAAGTGGCTTACTGCAAAATTGACAAAACCCTATCAAGTTCCATTCCTGCGACTGCATTGTGGCGCTTCTTTCTCCTTTATGGGTAATAATTCTGATCTAGTGAATTTTTTCAACCTGATAGCCCAGCTTGCAGCGCACTTAAGACTGACTAGGCAGCAGTACCTTAGTAAGCAGAAGTGCAAATTGTTCAGGGGTACTTTTATGATAATCCTTCCGTTGTTAATTCAACTCAGCGGTTTCAACACGAATATTCCTGCACTGTAAATAGGGTTTCGTGTTGTCACATTTACCTCTAATGGCGCCGCTGAAGCGGTTATCTTGGATTATCCATATCAGGGCGGATATTGCCCCTTGTAGGTTTCTTTTGCGTGAGTTTACTCATGCTCATTTAATTTCATCTCTCACTGCAATCATTACACAAATTCTATGATGTGATCTGGTAGATATTCTTTGTCGGTGAATCACATCAGAACATCAGAGCGTACGGGTAAGTTACGTTCCTTTCTTTCTGCTTCAGTGTTTATTGTGATAATACAAACACGGGAGGAGGAGGACTGGGTAACCAATGAGAAACGTACTAGAGACTTATGAAAATGAAAGAATTCATGAGAGAATAATTAATAATAAATTCTTGTTACCAATATAGATATTTTATTACAGTCTATTCCACCTCGAAGGGGTACGGTTTATAAAACTGTGGCAATAAATTAGCGTGCAGAAGCGTACTAACGGAATCCTTTTAGAAGGAAATCCATCAATTCATCCAAACCATTATTATCCCCTGCTCGTTTAAGCTGTTTTATCCCAAAATAGTATCACAATGCTTTGCTTCACTCACTGAAATGTAATTTGACCACGAGATGCTAAAATCCCAATCAAACATGTAATTTCGATTCAGGATTCCACAGAGATGGTCAAAGTTATTACAAACTTCCTTTGTTGAAAGTGAGATGTTCAGGTTGGGTTTCTATGTGGCTAGAACAGCACTTTTTCCACCCAATTCAGTCAATAACTTTCTCTGAGGGGACAAAACAGCAATGTAAATCTGCTATTTTTCAAATCAGAACATTCTCGGAGATAATAAATTATGAGTTACACTCTGCTGTAATTCAGGTTTAGCATGCCAGCTTTGTCTTTCTCTATATAATATAAAAGATGACTGAGGTGGTCCAGTGAATCGCCCGCCAACAAGCTCATATATGGATACTGAAGTTTCGAGCGTTAGCTTTCGTCATTCGCTCTGACGTAGACGTGACGTAGGGCTAACGCTCGAAACGTCAGCTTAAAACGGAATCTCTTTACGGTGGGCAATTTGCAGTATTGTCTCAGTTGAGATGATAACACAGCAATTCTCCTCCGTCAAAAGAGGAAACTTGTCAAATAAAGAGTTACAACAATCAACAGTTGGAAAATTTTTGCTTATCTCGATGTTTCTTATGATAGCTTTAGTCGGCAGAAACAGAAATTGACAAGAGAAAGCCCTGAGTGGTTTGTGAGATAAACATGAATACAATATTCTTTTAGCAAATATCTGGCCCTTTTTTTATCATTCAAATACATTTTATCCTCCTCTCTTTGAATTCTTAAAGAACTTGTGCCGTGAAAAAACAGTAGGAGGGGCAATACGACTTTGAACAATAACTTTTTAAGTCTTCTTCAGCTTCACTTAGAATTTGCATGTTTAGATTGAAAACTAATATAAGAATGTTGATCTTTCAGATAGTTTTCTGTTTATATTCAAGGTTTAATCGTGACAAAACACTCAAATACAAAAAGATATCGAATTCTCTCTAGATCCTGTCATCCTTCCGATGTCTAATTATGTTCCAAACACCTGCTCCGGGTTTTACGCCCAAAAGAAAATATTTTTATTCCTTTTATAAATTGCGTTGTTGTTCTAGGTCTTCCAAATTGGACGGGTGTAAATCCAGAGCGTAGCTTTTAACGGTTAATCCAAGATCCTTATGATCACAAACCAATGTTTTCAACACGTAATAGTGAGAACACAGTCTGAATTTAAATCCTAAACATTCTGAGGTGTCCATTAAAAACTTGACATTTGTTATTATCTGAAGTAGGCTGTAATCAGCGTACGCGTCAAACATCTGCTGTAGCCATGGTAACGTCACAAGCTGTGAAGCAAGAGACTTGTATAATTGTTTGCTAATTAGTTTCCCTCCTTCGACGGCACACTGCATTTTGACTCAAGTGTCAGGCGACCTTCCTAAAGCTGTATCTCAACCGAAAAAACCGTCAAACATGGATTGGGATCACGATCAACCAGATCACGGTGAGCGAAGTGATTGTTATTGCAGAAAAACTCGAAATTCAAACTTTTTGTGAAATTATGTTCAAAGAAGTGTTTGCCAAATCAATAACATTCCAAACGATTAAGCTTAAAATGAAATCGAGGACTTATCAACTGGCTTTTTAGCAATGAAATTATTCTGGAACCGTTTTCTCTTGCTTCGATCGTCTTTCATTGTTAGTTGTTTCTTTTATTCATAATTGTAGTTTAAAATTCCTATCGATATAACACTGGTCGGATCAATTTTGGAATGATGTGAGTAAATCAAACATTCTGATCTGCGAGGTTTTTGAATTATCATAACATGACGTCCCCAAGGATTTGCAGGAAATAACAAAACAATTCCCTTAGTAGATGGGATGTGTCATAGAATATTGTATACTTGATAGTTGCACAATCTTCAGAACGGCTGACTGACTGATCATGATCTGTGGTGTTTTCTCACATCATTTGTTTTCTTCCGCGAATTTTCATTTTCGGAAAATGCGCATATCGATTTCAAAGGAAAAAAACAAGTTTATTTAGTAACTGGAGATATGTGTCAGTCGCAGGATTTTTAGTTTGTAAATTGGAGGAATTGAGCTGTTTGTCTTATGAAGGAAAATAGAGGTCTTTTTAATTTTAATTATTTGGATTTCTCTCTATGAAAGGAAAAAGAAGGAAATGAAGCAAAAAGCTCACTTTTTAAATGACAATAAATTACACTGTTATCGAGGCTTTAGCATCTTTATCTTCACAAAAAAAATACAAAATTATTTGAAAAGTATGACCTGTATGTTTGGATATTCGATCACGAGGGACTTGTTAATAGAAGATCAGGGATTATAATTTTTAAATGTTCAAAACTGTTGTTATGTATGTATGTGCAAATATGAGTTGATAAGCGTCATTCAAAGCACAAAGTATTCTTATTCTGCTTGGATTTTGTGTCAGTTTTGTTTAAATTCATGGCACGTTTCCTCTAAAATATAACAATATAATTGATTACCTTACACATAGAAATAGATTAAGGTTAATTTTTTGCAAAAGAATGAAAATTCTGTTATTTCCGCTTTTTTCTGCATGGCAATCAACGAATGTCCACTTACTGCATACATCGATGATTATAATGTGACTTCTACAACAAGTTAAGCTTCTTGGAATGTTTAAGGCGTATGAGATCAGTGAGGTACATGTAGATATGGAATCATTCTGTAGTCATTACTTAGTTTGCACCTATGCCCAGGGCCCAAGCAAAGGGAGCTTACATGCATCCAGGGCGTATGACATCAGTGAGGTACATGTAGATACGGAATAATTCTGTAGTCATTACTTAGTTTGCCCTATGCCCAGGGCCCAAGCAAACGGAGTTTACACGCAACCAGGTGTTTCAACATTTTTACAGAGGAAAAGATTCAGTGGCCCAAATAAATGTTTTGGTATCGATTACACTAAGTATCGGCAGAGTGCCCTTTCTGGCAATTTATAAACAAAGAAGAGAAACTGAAATGAAAGGATAGTATTTTTGTGTTTCCCGGTGCACTGATAATCAAACTGTTATCTTTAGAGATGTTGCACAAGTCCAACGAAAGCCAGTGGTCCCAATACTTGTCGAAGCCCATGTGCCGCACGTGCTACAGGGAAATTCGCGTGCGGAGACGGAATTAACATTAGCCCAGGCTAGAAGTTAAACGTTCTAATTCCTAATGCTCACTACAACGTTTTGGTCAGCTAGGTGTGGTTTAAACTGCTAAATTGACGACCTCACTGTATTTTCAAAAAAATATTAAAATAATGATTTCGGCACTCACAGCGCAATTAAAAATCTTAAAAACGGGATATTTCTTTCGGATTTACCGAACTTCGTCAGCCACTCATTGTCAAAGAGCGCCAGAATTAGTTTTATTCACCTTTCGGTTGCCCGTCCCCGTTTCAAAATCGCCTCTGCTTAAGTTCTCTATCTTTAGTCCAGAAGACCATACCAATACACAACCTCCCTTGTAAAAATCATATTTAAGCGTTAAATAACTCAACTGTTTTTTCCCCCTTAGTTTACACAATGAAAAAAGCGAGGAAAAGGAAGTTGCATACATTGAATGCACTATTACCAGGCGGCGGCGGAGAAACAGAGCTGGGTTTTGACCAGCAAGATGAGGATGATAGTGACAGTGGTATAAGTCAGGTGTATAACCCAGTCAGTACATACAGCCGCGCACAGTTCTCCCTTCCAGACATTGCAAAAACTGAACTAGCATCAAAACTTTTAGCCGCGACTCCAACTCATCCTGCTCACATTAAGGCCAGAGTTCTTTGGAAATATAATGCCGTCGAACGAACAGACTTGCAAGTCGAAAAAGGAGAAATAATTCTGCTTCTTTACCGAGAAAAAAACAAGGTTTATGTAGTCAACAGCAAAGGAAAAAGTGGTTTTATACCCTTTAATTACTGTACTGTATTAAGGAAAAACGATTTTGTCTCGAATGTTTACCATCCTCAAAGTGAGCGAACGAACTACAAACAATGTTCTTGGCAAGTAAATGGCTGTCATCACGAGTTTGTAGATGCCTCCTATTACTCAAGAACAGCGAAGACTACTAATTCCCACATTCACCGAAGTCGGAGTGAAGAATCTCTTTATTCTCGCAACGACAATGAATCATTAAATAGGAAAATTTCATCGTCACTAGAAGACTTATCCGACGACAATCAAATTGCCACGATGATTTCCGATCTTATTCACTGGGATCGCAAAGCTCCTGAGACCTTTAGACGTCGACAGAAAGTTCAAGTAAGCCATTTCCGAAAGTTTGAAAATGAAGTTGTTATGGTTTTGTTTGACTTTCATGCCGCTGATGAGAATGATGTGGACGTTCAGCGAGGAGAAGTTGTGACGGTTCTCAATAGAGATGATCAGGATTGGTGGTGGGTAATGAGAGATGATGGACTGGAAGGATTCATTCCAAGTTCTTATGTGTCTATTGAAGCAGTTCGAATGTCTCCTGGTAAGTATTCGAGGCTACTCAAATACTCTCCCCGCAGAGAACTCACTTGAACCTCAGACATTAACTGCACTTTTGAAAGAAGGACTTGCTCTTAAAATCAGATGCGCGGTACATGTTTAACCGTGCTTGCCAGCTTCGATAAATCTCATCGGTCAAGACTTTCTAAACTTTTACCTTTTTCAGATTTTTTTCTTTCTTTTGTCATTGTTTTGGTTTCACGTATAATTGCAATTTTTTATTTAGAATGTACACCCAGGAGTACAGACAGTTCACTTGGTAGCTCAGAGGGAAGCATTAATCAAGTTAGGTTCCAGGATCCACTCTGCACTATACACAGTTACGAAATAGAGCACTCGGACTCAGACTCCTTGGTACCAAATGAAACACACGACTCAGATAACGAAGAAATGTACATGGATTCAAAGTGGAGTACGTGGTGTTGAAGCGAAAATAAATTAGGGTCCGTCTCTTGAGCGTGGATAAGTAAATTACCATTCCGCGTAAATAACAGAGTTTGTCAGATAAAATTGCTTTTCGGGAAGTTTTCAGAATATTTCTTTTGAATTTTTTCCTCGGCCTTGTTTAGATCTGAAGTATTATTTTCCAATCAATTCTGCATGCTGATAAGGGAAACTTTTTTTAGTCAATAAAATCAGTAATATCAGCTTTCCGTCTGCTAGTTCTCCTTTTAAAACATGTCATGCAATTGTTCTGTTGTGTGCATTTCCTTTAAGACTGATGTAATGAGAAAGAATTGAAATTCAAGTTTGTCCTTAAACTGTTGTGTATAAGTTTGTGAGAATCATGATAATAAAATGTGGCACCATGTTCTATTTTTACATGTAGTACGTACTATATCTGAACATTAATCCACGTTTATGATAGCAGCAAAGTTGATTAAAGTAGAATTAGTTCCGGGGTGAACGCTTTTTGTACTGATGCTCAACTGATAAGTAGGCCAGGTGGTAGCTTCAGAAGAAGCAGAGCAGTTTGGCTAAAAACTGATATCGCGATACGTGCTCACTCTGCTTGTAATTTTGTTTGCCTCAGTGAAAGAAACTTTCTCTCATCGAATACTTGTTATGAGCTGCAAACAGTTTACTCGGAGCAAACTGAATCCGATAAAAATCTGCAAGGTATCCCGGCTAACGTGCCATCCTCAGCCCTCCTCAGCCCTCCTCGGCCCTCCCCGGCCCTCCTCCGCCCTCCTCAGCCCTCCTCGGCCCTCCTCGGCTCTCCTCGGCCCTTCGTCTCTCTCTCCTTCGTTTATCTCTCCTTCGTCTCTCTCTCCTTCGTCTCTCTCTCCTTCGTCTCTCTCTCCTTCGTCTCTCTCTCCTTCGTATCTCTCTCTCTCTCTCTCTCTCTCTCTCTCTCTCTCTCTCTCTCTCTCTTTCTTTTCCTCTCTCTACAAACATTCTATCACAAATGCCTTAACTTGATTGGCTGCGTAGCTCGCTCTCTATTCCATGATAGATAGTGACTGTGATACAGTTTTTAAGTGTAGAAGTTATAATGGTAGTTTCAGTGCCGCCTTCGATAGGCAATTAATCACCTAAGGAGTTGCAAGATGAAATAGAATGAGTAAAAGTTGCGTACGTTCCCAATGTTTAAAAAAGATTCAAATGCTTATTATTTTCCATAAACTTACACATCAAAGTTCAGAATGACTTCATTATTGCTTAAAATCTTCCAAGATAAAACTTTTAGCTTTGCTTTTAAAATAGATGAAACATTTGTCTTAAGGCAATCATGGGCCGGGCTGTTCTAGTCTTCGTCGATTACGCCGTGCAACCTATCTGTATCATCACTCGATAAAATTACGAATCTGTGATTTTTGTTAAGTTTTGATTGTATTGTCAGTTTCTGTTATAGCAGGTCAATTATAACAATGATAATAATAATAATAATAATAATAATAATAATAATAATAATAATGATGCCGATCACCAAAAGTGGTGACAATGATGTTGGTAGCGGCCTAGAGAACACCGCATGGAGAAAGAACTTCAACGTGTACTTTGTTGTTTTTGTTTATCATTTGAGATGTAATTTAAATTTCACTATGATAAAGTAAAATATGAATGTTCTTTAAAAAGGGGTAAAAAGGAGATGTGTCAGGAGTGGGATTCGAACCCACGCCTCCATTTGGAGACCAGAACGCCCAGTCCCATGCATCATGGGAAGGAATTTATCCTTGAGTCTGGCGCCTTAGACCGCTCGGCCATCCTGACAACTCATACAAGTGCACTTGATTTTTAAATAATTATAGGTAAAGTATGATATTCGAACATTTCCAGCGTCAAAATCAGTGAAAGTTTTTTTGTACCCACGGTTATTTCCATCTATGTATAATTCTCATGTTTCTTGAAAGTTTCCCTTAATGTTTTAACGGCCTGAAGGAATCTTTCATTCTCTCCATTTTTACGACAGGCCGGAAGCTCACAGACTGGAACCTAGGTTGGTAAAATGTATTGAAGGTATGGACCACATGAACAACGCAAATGACTAATGATGATTTGTGTTTTAGGCATGGAAAAGCGATTATTACGGCAAAATATTACGGTCCCGATTCATTTCATGGACGAGGATCAGGAGGGACTGTAAGATGTGTTTCACTCGTGAATAAAAGTGAAGGAAAACATGCTCGGTGTTTAAGAGTGAAATTTAATGCTAATCCGGTCTTTGCCAGTTTACTTTGGCAACAGATGACTTCCTCGCGTTTTTTTGGTATTCATTTATCATCATGGCTTTATTGCCAGTTGAGAAACATTACAGATGGAAACGGTGAGTGAACTTTTGTTTTTACAGGAAATTCACTATCGTTGATTTTACACACTTACAATTATTTGTATATAGATTGTTAAGAATGCTTCCCTAATGACTGGCTGTCATGAGATTGTTCATTGAGGCTGCAAATCTTTTTTAATGCGTCAATCGATCCTCCCATTTAACTTTAAACTCCTCCATTTTAAAAGATAAAACATAATTATTCCACTGAAAACTTGACAGTACCATTTCAAATTCCTCAACCCACCCAAACAAGGTTCAAATCTCTCACCCCCCATGCCCCATGCACGAATCATATTCAAATGCCCATGGATTGTGCGGGGAGAAGGGGGGGGATGTTGAAGCCTCAAATTGATTGCCACATATGCTTCTACATGTAATAAGACTGGGGAGATGAACTGATTGTGGTCTAAGATAATATTAAGTTAAACTTTTCAGTCAGGGCAGTTTACATTGCTTCAGCTGCACTTTATACTGCAGTGCACGCTGATTATTTTTTTTCTCCCGTCTCTCCTGAAATCACCTAAAGCTTTCTATTCCTGTTTTCCCTTCTGTACTGTAGAGCAGCTGCCCTCTGCTTTTGATCATGTGATTAGTCTTGGTGAATCATGTTCAGTTTGTTTGCAAGGACAGCTGAGCCACATGAACATTCCAACAGTTTGTAAAATTTTTGGAAACATTGGTGTTCAGCCCCTAGCACGTTTATGTCTGGAGCCTGATATCAGATGGTAGGTGTTTCACTGAAGTATTGTTATTCTGTCCTCATTGTATATTCATCTTTATTTAGGAGATGTATCATTTTACTCATTGAATGTTTTAGAGTGAAGTCATTTTTTATCTTAAAGTCTTTGCTGAGTCACATCAATCCTGAAATTGTAGGTCAAAGCGACTTGTTGTTGAGCTTGTAGAGTATGTGCAGTTGCAAGATGTGATGGCATGGTTATCAACCTTAGGAGGGGCATATTCTGCCATGGGAGACCATCTTTGTAGTTATGTGAGTAATCTTAAACAATGCGATGTTAAATCAGATGTTGACTACTGTTATTCCCTGTTGACATTTAGCAGTGTTGTGACCGTTTTTCAGTGTTTCTCAATGTAGTGCATGGTTCTTACATGTAACTAAAACTTTAGGTTATTCATCATTGAGAGATACAAAATACATGCAGGGAAACAAAATTAACATGCAGATAGGGTGTCTTTGACAGTTTGTAACTGGACTGAAAAGTGATTCCCAGAATTCAGAATACTTGACTCTGAGAGTTGAGAGCCAAAGTTCTCTGCCTTAAGGATTTTTCTAACAAACTGTGTAATTATATCTAACTTGAAGCTGTGACTTGGGGAATTTTTTCAGTGAATCTGTTTAATTGATCACTGAACTCCTGTAAACTGAACAAGTGAATTGATCGATGATTACTGAACAACTGGAAATGTGACAATAATTGGTATGACTGTGGAATAATGGCCAAACGAGTCAACTTAGGAACAGAGAAAGTGACATAATTAATAACCACAGTATAGTGTAGCATCCTTTTAAATGTGGCAACTCCAACAAGCATCATAATTAAAACCTTGTCATTTGCGACAGTCTGAGAAAGCTGGTCAGATCTCTAAACATCAATTACTTGTGGCCTTGAGGTTAGGGAATCCAATTCTTGCTGCACATTGTAAAGTGTTTGCTGCATTTAGCTTTATACAACGTGGACAGCTGAAACTAGCAGCAAAGATAATAAGGTATGTAACAAAAGGTTTTTCATGAAAATAATACTCTTGTTTTTCACAAATATGACAAGATACATTGTGAACAGAGGTCAAACAAGGTGGTAGAAAAAAAAATTGCCCTAACTAGCTTTGTTTGTGAATAGTCAAATTAGGAATTACATGATTGCCGGAAGCCATGCAGGGGTCTGAGTCAGTCATCCATGCAACCGCACTTTCAATCAGTTAGTCCTGCTTTATACTTGGTAGATTAATACAAGCATAAGCTCAAGGATGTTCACACTAGTGATTTAATTGTGCGCAGTGTGAGTCACAACAATGGTGAAACAAGGTGGAACTTATGTTAGTGTTTATGTCTTGCCAGGTCCCACTTTTGAAACAAGCATAACATATGCACAAGAAAAGGAAAAAATGTTTCTTTTTCTTGTGCTTATGCATGTACTTATTTCATAAGTGTGAACCAGGTTTAATCTCACCTGGTAGCTGATTAGTTGTTGCTCTTATGACAGAGGTAACTAAGGTTAGTCAGCTGTTAGTGAACCAATCAGCTAGTCGGTCAGTTTTCAATAGAAATAAATGAGTTTGCACTTAAAAAGTTTACAGTCCTATTTGATTAATGTTTTTGAGCTCTTTCAGGGAACAGTATGCATTAGCAACATCTGATGGCATTGGAAGGGATGGTAAGGTGAGTGACCTGTCTGAATTACATGTAGGGCATGGTTAGTCATTCAGTTAGGGTGACTGATAATAACTATTATTAGTAATAGAAATAATATTAATGATCATAGTAATAACATAACTTATACATTATATACTGTGTTCATCAGTCAATTTCATGAAAGTAAATTTTAGAGAAAAATGTTTGAGTAATATTCATCACCAGTTGTACAACACTTGACTGTTGTCATTTTTCTTTTATAACTTCAGCTGATATCATCGTGTAAAGCTGCTTGGCACAGAATACAATACATGAAGAAACAGAAAAAGGTATATTTGTTAAAGCCCCTCGCTTCTAATAGGCTTCCTTGCTGTTACCTCTTCAATTCCTTTGATTTTGAAGTTAATTTAGTTAGAATAGTTCTTTTATCTTTGATGTACCATAAATTTTGTATTCACTTAATTTTTTTCTGGTAATGGCAAATAAAATGAAAGAATGAAAGCTATGACCTGTTCGAGACAGAAAGAGATTTAGAACAAAAAAGTGTTAAAGATTACCTTGAAATTTTGTGAATTAATAGTTGGTTTAATTTCATTCTGAAAAGTTGTTAGGGGTTAGGGTTAGGGGCCAACCATTTAACTTTTGAGGAGGGGGTGGGTCATTTCTGGTCATCAAGAAATTTTAATTTCTAGCAATCTGCTGTGCAGGATATTTTTTTCCGTTCTAAATGCCTTTTTTTTTCCTGTTACATTTAGGCTGTATGCAATTTTTTTCTTCCAACAAGCACTTGCAGGAAATTTTTTTTCAAAATCACCCACCCCCCCTCTCAAGAGTTAAATGGTTGACCCCTTGGGATTAGTTGACTCCTTCTTTGATTTATTATTGGGTTAATTTATTAATTGTGTAGTGGATTGATTGATTGATTGATTGATTGATTGATGGATCACTCAATCTCATTGAGAGTTGTAATTGACTTATGGCCCTGATACACCTTATTAGCTAACATAATCAATTGCTGATTGGCTAACATGACCAGGTGTTGATATGGCTTACGTAACTGGGTGCTGTTGTTAGAAGTTTGTTCGAGGCCAAAAAAGGGTAAAAATACTCAAGTGTCCTTCACAAAAAATTTTTTTAATGTACTATTTGAAGCATAAACACCATAAACTATCAATGGAAAGTTTATGAAATGCACTATTCTGCAAAAATTGTTTTGTTTCAGCTTGGTTTAACCTTAACCCAATAGGGGGTGACAAATATGAAATGGATGGTGGTTCTTTGGGCAAATTAACTAGATATCAAATCTGACAACATAAATAAAACTAATCTGCTCAATTTCAATCCTGAGGGGTTTGTATTATAAATGGTGTGGGAATTTATTGGTTGCTTTGTGATTTATCGGTGAAGTTTGCTTATCAAAATATTACCAAGACATAATATGGCAGAGGCCATTGTGAGAGATCCATTCAATTTTCAGAGAGATAGCAAAGATCTCTATGTGCAACCAAAATCAGGAGATGTTATCATGATTGAAATTAAAGGATTACGATGTTTTGCTGCAAGAAACTCTTTGAGAGTTGTTAATATTGACATTTTATATTAGGCTTTTCCCAATTTGATGGGCTAAAGAATTCAGTCCAAAAATACTTTTTTGTAAATAACTTGTGCGAGTTTCAATATTTTACAAAATAATAATGCTTCGTTTGACATAATTAAAAGAAAAAAAGAAATAACTTTGCCCTTGAAGGTAATAACAATAATAATAATAATACCTTTATTTAGACACGATAATGTTTAAAGCTAAACAGGTTGTGGGGTCATGTGTAAATCTAAATAAACTCTAAATTAAATCAATTCAAATGATGATGGTTTTTGAGGAGAGGGGAAAACCGGAGTACCCGGAGAAAAACCTCTTGGAGCAGAGTAGAGAACCGACAAACTCAATCCACTTATGACACCGCGTTCGGGAATCGAACCCGGGACGCATTGGTGGAAGGCGAGTGCTCTCACCACTACACCAACCCTGCTACTGCCGCCAACCATAATGATAAGGTCTATCTTGTCATTAACATTTTACCTAGTATGATATCTGGTAAGTTTTATCACTCACACCATATCAATTTTTCACTCTGTTTGATTCTTAGATTGACCAAGAAGTCATGAAATCAATCACATAATATGGAGCTTTAGCATGTTTGATGTACCCCATCTGCTCTTGCCTGTATTTCTCCTCTCATTGCTGGATGAACTGTGTTGTAATTTGTTGCTTTCCTTAAAGAGGCAATTGGAGGAAATTTTTTAATAAATGCAGCGTACCCTGCAAGTAACTTACAGATGACTGACGATCTTGAAACATTATGATTGCAAGTGCCCTTTACTCTGACAAGTTCAGTGCATGACCGTGAGGCAAATGCAACAAACAGAATACCTTGTATCAGAGGGTAATAATAATACCAATTAATTTCACTATGGTGATCATGGTCATCTTCAAGTAATTTCATTAAGAAAAAGCCTGTCTTAGGACCCACATCAATATTGAAACAAAAATCTTGAAAACAAGAATTACCCCCAAAAATCCTGTCTACCTTCAAATATGATATTTTATTGTCTGCATTAAGCAACATAAACTGAGGGTTGTTTGAGGGACAATCATTCCTATCTGTATTAGCTCTAAGGAAGGATGAAAATTAATATTGGTGATTTAGTCCTGTGAGTGAGGGATCTGAAAAATTATTCCTTGTAGTTGCTGCTATTAGAAGTAAGTTTGATATAGTGATATCTTCTGTTTGATAGTTTTGTTCTCTGTGTTGGTAAGAGGATGGGAGGTTGATTCACGGCTGATAGGACAGTTGTAGTAATCAAGTTTCTGGTGATAAGGTCTGATAATTATCTCCTTTGAGAGAACAAGGATAGTACTAACACAAAACTGTGTGCCATTTCAGCGAGAAAATTTTAATCCCTTACTCATGTTTGCCCATGTCCAACACACAGGGTCGCTGTGTCGATTGTTAAGCTCCTTTACTCTCATTGACCAGTGATTTGCTTTGGGCCACATATCAGCCATCTACCAAATGTGAAAATTTGGTCTTACAACGCATCTTTTCCATACTATGAAAAAAATTTAAGAGGGTGAAAACAGTCGTCTTTTACCAACAAACTTCACCTTAGTGAGTTTTTTCTAAGTGAAAAATGAATCTCGCCGAGAATGTGCCTCTACTCCCACCCTTCTGGTTGGCAATGTTCATTCACTACTACCTAAGAGCGATGAACTAGAGTGTGTGGCCGTTTGTATAGTATTAAATATATTAACCAGTAGTTTCACTAGCAACCTCTGTGGCTTCCCTTGGTGTTGATGTATGGGATCCCATGAAAATGGGTTCCCACTCCACTGATGAGCAAACTCGTGATCAGTGGGTAAAAAAGGAACAAAGCATATGCAAGGGTAGGAATGGGTGTGTAAAATGAACATAAAAGTTAGGTGTTAAAATTGAGGGAGCGACTTCTGTAACAACAGCACGCTCCTAAACTCAATTTAAAATTGTAAAAAATATGTTATATATTATTATTAAAATATAAAAAAATAAATAAGTAAATAAAATCAAAATGAAATAAAATGAAGTTAAAATATTATCTAAGAGTAACTATTAGAAAGAGGGGGCNCTGATGGTTATACTACCGTTCTCAAAGATGGTCTCATCTCTCCGTTGCTGAAGTGCGCCATCGTTCATCCCATCCCTCAAGCAGACCCCGCCCAAGTCTATTGAGGACGATATGCGCCCGATTTCGCTCGCGTGTCAGATTGCTAAAGTTTTTAAAGGATTTACACTAACACGTGTTCTCCTTACAGTTTTAAAAGATCTTGATATTAAACAGTTCGCGGTATCAGGGAAGTCAACAGAACAGGCAATAATTTATCTGGTGCACCTTACCTTAGAAGCTTCAGACAAGGGTAATTGTTCAATCAGGTTCTTTTTCGCAGATTTTAAGAAGGGGTTCGACCCAATAGCCCATGTGATATTGTTGAGCAAGTTATCTAAATTTGAGATTCATAATTGTCTTCTTAGGCGGATAGCTTCCTTTCTGCACGAGCGATCCCAGGTAAAACGTATTGGTACTAATGTGCTAAGGTTGTGTCTAACTTTGTACATTAAAATGCATATATCCTGTAAGCGTCAGTTTACAACTAGCGAAGGTAAATTAGCTTTCTGCAGCTGTGTTCGCTGACTTCAGCTGTGTTCGCTGACATCAGCTGTGTTCGCTGATCAGCGTGTTCGCTGATCAGCTGTGTTCGCTGATCAGCTGTGTTCGCTGATCAGCTGTGTTCGCTGATCAGCTGTGTTCGCTGATCAGCTGTGTTCGCTGACTTGCCAAAGTACCTGGATAACGCTCTGGAAGATGTCCAGAAAAGGGCTCTCTCTATTATATGGCCTGACCTTTCATACGAACACGCGCTTGAAAAGGCCGCTATTTAGTCCTTGTCGGCCCGCCGTGCAGATGCATGCGAGCGGTTTATCCGTAAAATTCGCCCAGGTCACCCCTTGTAACCCCATATTCATGAGCGAGTACTTCACAGCACAACGCAAATGTGTGTGCGATCAGGAAAATCTTCTCACCGCATGCTCGTAAAAACTGAGCGTTTTAAAGATTTCATTACCGTTAAGTATCAGCCTGTGTAATGTATTATTTGTATTATATTCATATTTATTATGCACATACTGTACCAGTAATGTAGCCTCAGGCTGCAAGTGGTCAGAAATAAACTATATGAGAGGACAGTGTTTAAGTGCTGGCTCGGACTTATGGCGGGGGCTGGGGGTGGGTAATGTTTTGAGGTCAAAAGTTGATCACGTGACTTGGGAGCCATTTTGGAGTTGATTTGTCACTTGCCTACCTTGTAAGAAACTTCAACTTTTCCCCTTTTCTTCAAATAGTAGTGGATTGACAGTGACATTTATCAAATGGAGATGAGTGTTTCACTTTTGTGTTCAGGAGTCCTAAATCTACCGAGGTAAGACAAATAGAGAAGTTGCTACATTTCTGTGAACAAGGCAACCTGCAATCACGCTTGTAATTCGCTTGTTATTTGTTTCTTGTTCATTTCACAATGCCCTCGTTTGAAGGGCTTTTTCTACTTGCTTCATCTATAGTTTGTCACGCTGTTACACGTCGTGTAATATCTCATTCTAGAACGTTTATTTGTCTGAGGGACAATCGCTGAAACAAACTTGTGGTCTTTTCTGAATTGTAAATGGTACGGCTTTGTTTAATTCTCAAAGGTGATCTCAAAAAGTCGCACTTTTAGAAGCGCAGGCCGCTCACTGTCTGGGTCTTTGTATCGCGGAAAAAGTTCTTAATCCACCCTCTTCTTCACTGTATAAAACTGAACGTAACGGAAGTTGGTAAATAAAGTTTTGTATCTAGAAAGAGAATTTCAAGATAATTTATCATTTCTGCGTGGCACTTTCGATTGGCACACACTTCCCCTATCTTTACATTTCTTGCGTCATTGTTGTCGCTTGGCCCAATTTTGGATTGTTCATGCTGCCTTAATTTAAGTAATATCGGTTCAAACTTCATAAATATTATTCAGTGGCGCTGGTGACTCTTTGTTTTGACCTAACTGCAGTCGTAGTTACGATCGGGTCCAGCTAGGTCAACCATTCAATTTACAAATTTAATATTACTTTTAATATCTTAAAATATATACATTTATATTGTTATGCTCGAGACGGTTGAGTACTTCGATATCCTGTCACGAACTTGTAATTATTTAAGTGTACTTGAGGTGCACTGATCCTTGTAGGATGATATTATAGAAAAATGATTAGATGGAATGTGAAGTTGTAAGAGAGTTTGTCTGCGAATATTTGAGCCTGGTTATGCTTACTATTATAATTTGTAATAATAAAGACGGGACAAACAAAACAAATACTTGAACAAGCAAGACTTGCCCATGTTGCAGTGAACCAAAATGCAAACTTGATTATGAGGTAGAATTTGAAATGGATCAAGGATCATCTCCAACTTATAGAGGAACAAATGAGCTGTATCACCTTTGTATAGAGTGGCTTTTTAAAGATGATTTATCTAAACAGGTCTCTGAATACAAAGTTAATGTTCCACATTTTTACCTTGTCATGAGGAACAAAGCAGATTATCTAATATACACACACTAATTGACTGTTAAAAATAATTTAGTACAGGTAGTGAGTGAAATGTAGTTTGGATATATCAACAACTTTGAAATGGTAAATTGGCCACCGAAACGATTACAGAAGCTGACGTTTCGAGTGTTAGCCCTTCGTCGGAGCAAATAGCGGAATTGTGGGTTGTGTGTGCTTTTAAAGGCAGAAAAATGGAGCTTTGTTATTGGTGGGAACATGGCAATGAGAAAAACATGACTTAAATAGTGAAATGAAAAGCGTTCGTTGATCCCTGTGGGATTTAGACTGCCGGTTTGAAAGATGACCTTT